CTAGAGGTTTTTAAATGGATTTCTTGATTACAGGGAAAACTACTAATTTATTTATTAATTTTTTAATTATATTTTATAAAAGTATTACTGTAGTAAGTGAAGTACCCTGTTTTTCTCCGTGATCCGTCCTAGAAGCAAGTCTAACATCTATGCCTCTGTGCTCTAGTGAATGACTGGAAGGCAATCTAAAAGGAATGAGAAGTTCTCTCTAGCAAGGTGTTCTTCACATTTTTGAAACTCACGTCCTCCTTTGATATGTATCAAAATCTCATGTTCTATAAAATTTAGAGCAAAATGAGTATTGTTATTTGCATTGAATCAAAGCAATGGAACAAAGTAATGCTTTCTTTTCAAACCACACAGTCCTCTGCCTCCATTATGATACTGGAGGTGGCAGTAAGCGGGAGTAATGTGCCCCTACTCACTTCTGCTTGAAGAATCATTCCTCTCATACTCATCCCAAATACTGCTGGCTTGTACATAAAAGAAATATTCTCATTGACCAAATCTCAGAGTTCCAATCTGGTTCACTCTCACTGAATACCTGTGGTCTTAACAGAAGCCTAATTAAGGTAGGGAGAGAAATATGTAAATGCTTTAAATTTAAAAATAATTAAATCTTAGCAATTGCATCTGCGACTTTTGCAAGGTATCTGTTAGCCGTCCTAACTCTGGTGAAGCTTTTCTAACATCACTCATATTTTACATGTTGTTGGAACATTTTTTGGTTGTCATTTTCTGTCATCATCTGGATTTAGGGGTTTTTTTGTCTTGGAACACAACACATTAATGCCTCTTCCAAGCTACCATCGTTTGTTTACATTGAGTGAGAAGACAGCACGGTATTGTGGAAGGTTCCAAAGGCTTTGACAGTCAGATCCACCCACATTCAAATCTTGAATCTGCTGACTATCAGGGTGACCTTAAATACATCTCTTAACCTCTCGGAGCCTCAGTTTCCACATCTGCAAAATGAGCTTAATAATTCCCCTCTCTCAGGACTATTGTGAGAATTAAAGAATATATTTAGAGCCTCTTAAACAGTACCTGACACATAGTAGGTACTTAGTGTAACTTTCGAGTATCTATCAAGCTTAGGGAAAAGATTTTGTCATTAACATTATGATTTTTAGTACACATGATATTGGGTATTCCTTTAAGAAGGAGAAAAGATGTTGCGTTTTTAAAATGAAGAGTACTATGTGTCTAGATTTAATGAAATTTGATCTTTACTATCATAGTACTGATCATTCTGAATAAAATTGAAATATTGTTACCTAGGCAATACTCAAAAGCTAATTCCCCAAGACAGAGCGAAAGGATATGCAAAAATTACTTCGATAATTACCAATTTGTTTCCAAATGCTAGTTTTCTTGTCACATTATATAAATTAACCGTACTGTGCCTGCCACCAGTGTATAAATCTTTGTATTTTCCAATATACCAACCAAAGTTAATTTAGAGCAGCTATCTAATATTATCAAGACACCACCAGCTTCAGGAACTCTAATTGTTTTCATTTTAGCTCCTCCACTCACATGGGTTGGTCTCTCATTGGTCAGGAGGAACCTAATTCTTCTAGCATGAATCCTTCCCTTCCTACCGGCAGGCAGCCATCTCTGCTCCAGCGCAGGGTGGGAACTTGCCCTTGAAGGAGCAGGGCTGTGCAATTGCTGCTTACCACAGCCTAAAGTGCTAGAAACACACAGAGCATTGCAAAAGTAGAATCTAATTGCTTTAACCAGTGAGAAAATTTTAAGTGACAATGTTGAAACATTTTCCCATCAACCCAGATAAACTATGATTAAGCTCATGTTTACATATCGCCAAAATGTCCAGAGGAAAAATGACGAATTCAATCATGTTGACATTTTACTATAGGAAATTAACCATTGTATGGCATACAAACACAAAAATTTTTCATTCTACACCATGCTAAGAGATTAACCATCTGAGGAATAGGAAATAGGCTAACATCTGATTAAAACATAATGGGAAAATAAATATCAGCACAATTTCCCTTAGAATTTGACATATGTGAAAGGTTCTGGCATAGTATCTACCCAATATAATTACCTAACAGATAATACTTGAATACCAACCCAAACTTATTTCAAACTGCTATCCTATGTCTGATGTATTAATTTGTTTGATTAATCTTATAGCTATCTAAATAGTTTCTTTAATAGTCTAGTAAGGGCCTATCCACATTTTTGTGCTCTGAAAAGAAAAGAACTCTCAGAACAGGAATACACTGAGGTTTTCACTTTCCAGTATAAACCAGTAATAGATATGCAATTTCTTATGACTGTTTATGGAACCAGGAGAGCACTGGGTGCACTGAACTCCATCTCAGTATAGTGGTTTATGCAAATAAAAATCTAAGTATATAAAGCACTAAAAAATTTTTACTGTAGGTCTGGAGTCAGTAGCACAGGCGAATTGCATTACATAATATGCAGCATGAGCTACTTCCTTAAAAATCCTAACATACCCCAAAGTTACTCATAAAGGCAGCTGTCCTCTCCGCTCCTTTCTCTCCACAAATTCCACCCAACTACTTCCCCATCTCACCCCTGTGCTAATTCTCTTCACCTCCTTGATTCTCTCTCCCCTTCTCTACCCTCTTTAGAAGAGAACAAAAGAGGAAGGATTGCAAACAGTGGTCTGAGCTCCCTTGTCTGAAATCCTCGGGATTAGATATCTTCAGAACTCAGAATTTTTCAGATTTCAAAGTTAATATAACACATCTGCTACATAATATATTCAGGATCTGGAGAAGCACCTTGAAATTAAGCACATTAATATGTAGGCAGTAAAATATATGAATATTCATATTAAGTGAGATAAACAAATATTATACATAGACTAAATCAGCTCAGGTCAGGTTTTGGACCAAATGAATTTGCCAGAAAAGACGAGAATTTTTTGTTTTTCGGAGCTTCAGTGGTTTCAAAATTGCAGAAGAGATTGTAAATATATACTTCTAAATTAATATTTTTTCTTTCATTCTATCAAATTTAATTTTATTAATAGTCAACTAAGGTTATTAAGAATGATGGAATTGCGTTGTCAAAGGGATGAGTGATTCACTGAGCATCTACTATGTGCTGGGCACTATTCTGGGCTCTCATGGAGTCTAGACTTTCTCAGGAAAGTCCTGCTCTCATGGAGCTTGCTTACATTCCAGGGGAGATGGGGGGAGAGGGGACAGACAGTAAACAAACAATCAAATGAAAATATAATCTAGGATCCCATAGTTAAAGGGGCAATGAAAAATAAATAAAGCAAAGAAAAGGCATAAAGAGTGACAGAGGGTGTGAGGGTGGAGGGTGGTCAAGAAAACCCTCTCTGGGGAGGTCGGATTTGCATGGAGACTTGAAAGGCATGCCAGAGTGAGCCTTTCGAGTTTCTGGAGGAAGAGTATTCTAGGCGAGGAGACAGCAAGCGCAAAGTTGGGCGAGTGTTGGGTAAGGGAAGTGGAGGTGCTGTTTGCGGTAGAGTGCCTTCAGGATATAGGAGAGACAAGGCAAGTGAGGTCAGGTCAGAAGAAAAACATGGGATCTAGGCATGGATCATAAAATGGGAGAATGAGCGGATGGGGCTGGTGACTGGAGCCATCGCTGACTACAGGTGATGGTAGTAAGACAGCCAGATATTGATTGTGGATGAGAGGTACAAGTCAGGCAGGGAGGAGAATGACGTTGGCAACGGGACATCACGCTCCACCAGGGAGGCCCTGCTGAGTCTCTAAACAAGCACAGTGGAGCAATGCAGGAAGGAGGAGCACAGGCAGCAGAGGGCAGAGCCCCTGTCCTGAGAAGGATGCAAGGGAGGGAGAGAGTGAAGAGACTCCACTTACAGAGCTGTGGAACAAGGAGGAGAAATAAACAAATGAAACTACACCAAACTAAAAAGCTTCTGCACGGCAAAAGAAATGATCAACAAAATGAAAAGGCAACCTACAAATGGAAGAAAATATTTGAAAATCAAGCATCTGATAAGGGGTTAATATTCAAAATACAGAAAGAATTCATACAACTCAATAGCAAAAAAACAAATAATCCAATTTAAAAATGGGCAGAGGATCTGAACAGACATTTTTCCAAATAAGATATGCGAATGGTCAACAGGTACATGAAAAGGTGCTCAAGATCACTAATCATTAGAGAAATGCAAATCTAAACCTCAATGAGACATCACCTCACATCTGTTAGAATGGCGATCATCAAAAAGATGAGAGATGACAAGTGTTGGCGAGGATGCGGAGGAAAGGGAACACTTGTTCACTGTTGGTGGGAATGTAAATTGGTGCAGCCACTGTGGAAAACAGTATGGGAGGTTCCTCAAAAAATTAAAAATAGAACTACCATGTGATCCAGCAATTCCACTTCTGGGTATTTATCCAAAGGAAATGAAAACACTATCCCAAAGAGATCCCCGCACCCTCGTGTTCACTGCAACTTTATTTACAACAGCCAAGACATGGAAACAACCTAAGTGTGTACTAACAGATGAATGGATAAAGAAAATCCAGTATATTTGGAATGGAATATTATTCAGCCATAAAAAGATACTTCTGCCATTTGTGACAACATGGATTGACCTTGAGGGCATTATGTTAAGTGAAATAAGTCAGACAGAGACAGACAAACACCATATGATCTTTCTTATATGTGGAATCTAAACAAACTGAACTCATAAATAGGGAGAACAGATTAGTGGTGGCCAGAGGCAGCGGATGTCTGTGGGGAATTTAGTAAAGGTGATCAAAACGTACAAACTTCCAGTTAAAAGATAAAAAGTTCTGGGGATGTAATGTACAGTGTACAGCTAACAATACTGTATTGTACATTTGAAAGTTGCTAAGAGAATAAATCTTAAAAGTTCTCATACAAGAAAAGATATGTGTAACTATATGAAGTGATGGATGTTAACTAAATTTATTGTGGCAATCATTTCACAATATATATGTATATCAAATCATTATTTTGTACACCTGAAACTTATACGTTATATGTCAATTATATCTCAATAAAATTGGAAAAAATAACTTAAAAATAAGTTAACTTATGTTTTTCAGTTCTTACAAAGGTAATAAAGGATCACTTACAGAATACAAGTAATAAAAGAAAAGAAAATGAATAACAGCTCTAACCACCCATAGCCTTTGTGCGTATCATGGTATAGAGCCTTCCTGCCTTTATATGAGCTTTCCCGTCAGAGAAAAGGCCTGAACCAGGCTATTACTGGGAAATTTCTGAGGGAGTTGGAGGACAAGAACTGTCAGGCAGACAGGAACCAGGACCCAGAGAATGAAACTAGATAGTAGTTCCTGCAGACTCCTGAGACACACCAATCCTCAACATCTGCCTGCCAGAAGTCAGCTCTCCCCTGGGCAAGGCCAGCATCTGAGGCCCTCCCCTGTTTGCTCCACCTGGGTATCTGACTGAGGTCCCTCCCTTCCTTGGCACCTGAATTCAGAAAGCTGTCTCATCCATCATAGTCCTTTCTGTTGCCGAGGCCTCATACCTGTGCGCCTGCCTGTTGGGTCATTCCTCTTCAGCTCCCCAGGGGGCTCACTGCTGGCAATTGCATGGTTTTTGGCTACTTCTTCATTTGGACATCTGGAACTGGAGGCTCCCTTTTTCTTAAATGTCTACCTAGCTTCCAGCTCACTGCTTGCTCTCATCCTCATTCTTTTGTTGCTTCTACGGATAATTTTAACACCTGGCTTTCAGAACTAGGACATTCCCATTCCAGCCTACTGACCTCTCAAAACCAGGTTTTACCCAGAACCTAACCCATCCCCACACCTAGCATCTATCCACACTCTTATCCAGGCCTGGATTTCACAGTCCCAATGCCCATTCAATGTCCACAATCAATAGCTATCGATGTCCCGAGACTGACACCAGTCTTTACCACTTCTCCCAATAGTCTGGTTAGAAACTAAGGATTGAAGACATTTCCAAACACATATATCTTATACAGTAATTTGTTCTCATTGAGGAGTGGCATCTGTAGCCTATCGCCAGGAGTAGAAGTCAGACTATTCCTGTTCACTGCATCTTGGTATCAGAGTCACCAAGGAAAACAAAACTCAGTCAGGCACTGGATGGAACAATACTTGACTCACATAAAGAAGAGACAGAGCAAGATCAGCTTCAGTAGTGGGAATCTGTCCCTCGTGGCCAGGGGTCACTCCCAGCAGCAGCAGCACTGTTGGCCTGCACGTACCCCTCTTATGCCAAAAGATGAGGGACCTCATCCTCTTCCCGCAGGGAACAGATATAGCACTGGGGTTGGCCAGGTGCCACATGACACATGTGCTTAAGCACAACAAAGGAGCACATACTGAGTCAAACAGGGAAAGATGTGCCCATACAAGGTGAACAGGCCAGCACAGGCTGTGAGGGCTCCATCTCTTGGGAAGGAAGGTTTCAGGCCCAAGGCCCATTCTTACGGGGATGAGTGCAGGTTGAAAGACTCCACAGCCAAGACCACCTTTCCCAACAGTTCTACTTTCAGTTACTCTACTTAGAAATAGTATTTGTATTATGTCAATAAATGTGTTATCATTCCTCTTCCAATAGCAATATAAATATATCTCAGTGAGTGGAATATTTTTATGAGTAATGGAGTTAAAGAATGCTTTTTCTGAATTTGTTTTCAGCACCAACTCTGTAAGACACAGATTCTCTTAAACTTACCTGAGGCCATGTCTTCCCTCTTCCTGAAAATAAATCATAGACTCGGCATGAGACCATAACCCAAGTGCTTTGGACTGTCACTTACAAGGTTAGGAACACTAAATGAATAAATCTTAATGGACAAATTAGAATGGTTATATTAGAATCAAATCAATCAATTAAGTTAAAATTACCAATTTGAAAAATTAGCTATAAAAAAATGTTCATCAGTGCCTGCATTTGGAACTTGACTAAAATGTCTACAAGTTTTCTAGAAAGAACAGAAAGAATTGGTCCCTAAGCCCACACCATGACTATGCTCAGTGTTATTGCTAAGGCAATGAAGAAGTCTGCTGTTGGGCATTTCTAGCTAGAAGCAGACAGGGAGCCAATGCACAAAACTGCTCTCCCCCTTATGAGATGTTTCCATCCTGATCACAAGGGAGATTGGACCACGGGATCTGGATCCAAGTGGAGGAAAGGGGATGAGTCTTGACTTCCCTCACTGTCCAAATGTTCAGTTCAGGTGGCTTTGGGATGTGTACCAAAGATCTTAAGGAACTTGGAAAAAATCATCAGACCACTTGGATGCACTCTATTTTAAATTCAACCTTGAAATCACTTCTTGGACTACACTAAATAGGAGCACCTTCAAACCTGATGTATACAAATGCATATAATTAGGTAGCAACAGATTTTCTCAGACTGTAGCAGAATACATGAATAACGTGATTTTACTGACTTAGCACATGCTTAATAAAGCTTTGGTCCCTGAAACATCACCAGTAGGATGACCATCTCCATGGTCTCAGTCTTAGAAAGGAGCTAAAAATACAAGTTTCTGAAACCAGTGAAGAATCAAAGATCTTTGAAACCTAGCAGGAGGTTAATTTGTCCTCAGGCACTATTGAATCAAGCTGAAGAAGGACCTCGAGGGATATGTTTATCACTATTGCAGAGTTCTTTAAACACAAAGCCCCTGACCCAAGAGATGGACAGAGTGGAGCTCTAGAAAATCATATTGTCTTCCCGGTCAGGACAGTGGCCCCTGCCTCATTACCTAACACCAACGGCACCATATTCCCCCACATAGTAGGGACTGATATACAAAAAGAGGCTTTTCTTTGTGGCTCAAAAAAAAAATAGATCCACTTTTCTTTTTCTCTGTTCAGATGTGTGGGGTTTTATAGCACAGTGCTAGACCAGCTCAATACCTGATTGAAAAAACCTAAGAGGAGGATACAGAGGGAAGGCTGGGTTCAGAATGCTCTGTGAAAGTACATCTGTTTTATATGAGACACACAATCTGTCTCATTCCAACCTGCATTTCTGGGTCACTTGAGACATTTAAACCGCACTTATAATTAACAGCTATTTTTAAACAGCGAAAAAATAGAGCACTGGTAAGGTACAAAAGCATTAAAATTGCCCCAGTTTCGCTTTTCAATAGGACACACCACCGCAATATGCTTCAAGATCAAAGAGAGCTCAGAAAAAGAGAGAGCGAGAGAGAGACGGAGAGAGACAGGCCGATCAGTGGGGATAAATTGTTCCCATTATGATGGTGTAAGAATAGGGTTCTTTCAATTGAAACAATTTAATAACCACATTCATTACATTGGTGTCCACTTGGTTTTATCTGAGCAGTTTTTGCATAACTGGGGAGCAAGTTCAATTGAGCTTATTCTCTAGAAATTAAGATGTGCAGGGTTTGACATTCAGAAATTAAGCACTAATAGTCGAGCAAGCAGTTGTCTGGAGATTCCCCCTGGATGCAGTCAGATCTGCCTACCACTAATTATGTCAGACGCAAACTCATTCTCTAAAAGACCTGCCCCAAATTTTCATTAGCTCATTTGAAGGCAGTTAGGGTGATATTAGGGTTACAAGGGGTTACCAGAGCCTCTTCTTTGGAATATGTTTATAGAATCACTTTGCAGAGCTTCGCTAGCATTGCTTAAGTATAGCATTGCCATCTGTAAACTTGTTTTTCCCTCAGCTATCAACAGAGGAAATCTTTCAGAGCACTCTTCTAATATTCTGTGAGATCAAGAGAACCAAAAAGAATCACGACAAACACTGGAAGTGCAGATGTGACAAACAAGGGGATCATTGATTCAGGAGGGAAAAAAAAATCACTAATTTTCCAGAGTTGACTTCCGCTGTAGATATCTATATACCAGAAAAAGAGTGGGATTTTTTTGCCAACCAGCTTTCCTGACAATGGTTACATTTGCCAGTTCTCAACTGCACTATGGAGCATAATGTGTCATTTGAAGTGTAGTTTATCCTAAAGTGCTATTTTAAAAAGATATTAGGAATGGAGCTGTAGAAATGTATACAGAAGAAAATCCGGGGTTTACATATGATGTATTAGACATACACAATCCATTCCTGTCTGCTACCCTCACTAGGAGCTAAATCATGTACAGGAACATTTAAAAGACATTTCCCAGTGTACACTAAATCCTTCTTTGTTTTCTCATTGCTGCCAAACAAGTGGAGAGTAAAGAATTGTTGGAACACACATTGGGTGGCAACTTCATAATAGCTGCACTTCTTCTTTCCTTCTTTTTTCCAGAAGACAAAGTGTAAAAACAGAGAAGTTACCCTTCCCTCTACAAAAGCTTTTAAATAATGGCTTTTCCAGGAGCAACTGCACTTCTCTCACTAGACCATTTCCCCAGATGGGATTTGCAATATAAAACCACCATAGATTGGCTTATTGAGGAAAGGGGATAGACTTGTACAAATCACTGGAAAGATAAATAAGCTATAGAGATCAATAAATAAAAGCCAGGCAGAAAAAAAAATCAAACTCCGGCATTCCAGACCAATTAAGATGTTATTTACTGCCCATGCGATTGTCACTTCGATGCTCTCCTTCCTCGTTTTCACACCGTACGCATTTGTTTTGTTGAGAGTAAGATATATAACTGATGTGTAAATAGAAAATGATATAGATAGATTTTATGTCCCATAAAACTGTTAATCTGTGCTCTACATTAAATATAAAGTACATTTTTTATTTAGACACTGCACTGGTATAATTAAAATAAAGTATGCTTGCTTTATTTTTTCAGTAAGTCATTTCCAACCATAGAGATCAAATAACAGTGCAACAGCAGCATGAAATGTGGTTATAATAGCCTGAGACCACATTTCCTGAAACTAAAACATGGGAGATAATAGTGTGAAGGTACAAATTAAATGCAAATAAAACAGATTCCCTATTGTTGCTAATCCCTGGATTGGGTATTCGCGGGGAAATTTAGCTGTAACGTTTAACTTCTTTGTACAGTAACCATTGACATATTATCAGTCACATTTTGAGGTCATTGACGGAAACTATCAGCGAAGGACTTAAGAAGACTACCTGTGCACCTTTCAGGAAGGGAATGGAAGTGGCCTGGGGCAAATCAAATAAAAATATACTGCCCAGACTGCCTCCGGGACACTTACGGCAGTTGGCAAATACTCATTGACTTGTTTCCTAATTGATGTACATTTTTGTGGCAACTTACTTCCATTCGCCAGCAGAAGCTCTTTTTGATTTCAGAGGTGTGTCAGCATGTCTCAGCAAGATCCCATTTTTGAGGGTGACTGCTCTGAAAACATCTCAAATTTTAACACAAGAGGACTTAAACAGTAGGCTTGTGTTATAATTTCTGCTTTTCCTATGCTGTAAGAAGCCCATACGCCATGGAGATGGAGTGTGGCTGGTGTAATATAGATGTTTTTAAAGTTGAAAAATAGGATTTAAAGTGAACTTAGCAGAATGACCTTTCATCTCAACTAATTTTCACACAGACCTTGCCACTAGTGTTTAAAATGGTCATTGAGCAATCAGTTTCTCGGGATTTCCAAGTGCACTGATCTGAGTAGATGTTCTAATGAGATATGGCCTTATTCGAGACAAGTAACTAACTCATGTTTTGGAGCTTTCTGGTAAACAATCTCTTTCTAGTCTTTTATAAGATGGCATTTGTCTTACGATTCTATAATTTGCAGCTCTCGACTTTCAGGAAAGTTTTGGGCATGTTACATTCTGTATTGTCACACTTTATAACAGCAAACGGCAGTAATAGTGTAAGTGAAGCAAATAACTAACTTTCTTCCTCACTTCCAAAACTATCAGAGACTACCAAAAAGTTTCTGCAGTCCCTTCCTCACCTTGAAGCCTTATATATCTGAAAGAATAAAGAGCCACGTTTACACAAGTTAATCCAAACTTCATCCTTTTTCCATCTCCAAAATAAGGTGCACATAGCCCTAGGGGCACACGAGATGATGCACAGGGGTGCAAAGAATCCTTTAGAAAGTCTGCTTTTATTTATTTATATATTAAAAGAAATGAAGCTTTACTACTAAAATATATACTATTAATGTAGATAATAGCATAGTTTAGAAGGAAATGTACATATGTTGGGGTGCATACTCAAATTTTAAAACTATTTTCATGCATGATTTTTAACGTTTGGAGACTACTAGGCTAGTGTCTGCTATTAATTCTTAAAATATTGGTATGAGAAAGAACTCTCAGAGACTCCATGTGGTAGGCAGACTAATGTCTCCCCTACAAAGATGCCCCCAGTCTTCTTCTCCAGAACCTGCGAATATGATTTCTTACATGGCAAGAGACTTTGTATATGTGACTCAGGATATGGACCTTGAGACAGAGATTATACTGCATCATCTGGGTGGGCCCAATCTAATCACGTGAGTCTTCAAAGGTGGAGAACATTTTTCGGCTACAGTCAGAGAGAGAGAGAGAGATGTGACAATGGAAAAGGGTCAGATGGATGCCATGTGAGAAAGATTCCACTTGCCAGGGCTAGTCTTGAAGATGGAGGAAGGGGCCACTAGCTAAGGAAGGTAGATGTTCTCTAGAAGCTAGGAAAGGCAAGGAAAATGATTCCCCCCAGAGCATCCAGAAGGAATGCAGCTCTGTCAACAAGTGATTTTAGCCCAGTGAGACCTCTAACCTACAGAAGTGTAAGATAATAAATTTGTGTTCTTTTAAGCCACTAAATTTGTGGTAATTTGTTATGGCAGCAATAGGAAACTTGTACACTCCATCTGCCCTAACTAATTTTGAATCCTGGAGTATTAGGACAGATTTAAGTACTACACCAAATGGACTCCAGTTGCAATCAGTTAAACATTTTTTGGTTAACATCTCTTGAGTTTACATCACTAGGGGAACAAATAGCAGCAAAGTATGACAAGATAAGTTGAAGAAATATTATTTGCAAAAATAGAAATAGAATAGGAACAAGACTTTTGGTCAAGAAGAGGTGAGAGTTTTCAGATGTGATCTTTGCCCATTATCTGAACATTATCTGCAGTGCCCAAATCTAAGGCACCTAGAGAACTGTAAAACTCATTCCTCAATATTTGAACTTCAGAAGGTAAAATTTCTAGGAATGACAGTATCGTGCTGGAAACATTAATGTGCCAGCATGAAATAATATCATTCTGTAGGAGGTAATAAAGGCATGAATTATGTCAAACTGTATTTGGTTCATGGATGTTACTGTGTTTCTTATGGGCAGATACAGCTAACAGGCACAAGAACACCTGCCTGCCTCCCTCAGAAAATTAAAGTTGTGTGCACAAACATCAGTCTAAGAAATTAGGGGACCGTTTGTGGCAAAATGAAAATGTGCCATGTTATAGACACACATCCTAAGGATATGGAATATCTCTCGTTACAGCAGAACATAATTTTTCTCCTTGTCTTACTCATCGTAGAAAGAACCATTAAGCCATTTACATTACAAGCGGTGGCTTCCACTCCTGTTAGGTAATATAATATGCTAAGTGAACTTGCTGCTATGCCAAATAGTGCTCCGTTATGGACTCTAGCCATTAATTGGTTTGGGGTCATTGGCCGTCTCAGTTAATGTGAGGGATCTATTCTTCTTTAAGTAAAATGTTCAATAGCATCTCCTATTGAAATGGGTCAGATTCAAACGATATGAGTCATTATGCATGTGCCAATGTACATGTGTACGGGTTTTCCTGTATTTATTTACTTAACGGTAAGAAAACAGAGTCCATTCTGCTAAGTTTAAAGAAAGTATTTACAGGTGCCATTGTGTACCAAAGTTGTTTAAAAGTCTGAGGAAAACGTGGCACAAGGAAAATGAAAAACTATAAGCCTCATTGTGATTTGACCCTCTTGGAGCTAAAGCACTAAGGGGGAAAAGCTGCCTTTCTCTTCTTTGCTCCTGTCTGCAGATGCATACAGATGACACTGCAAAGAGAACCATCACTTCTGCTCCGACCTGGATAATAATGTACTCAGTTAATCTACACCACACAGAGTCATCCTCTCAAAAAGTAATTCACTTCTTTAAAAACTGGAAGGAAAATAAATATGGTGCAGTAAAATTGTTGAGTAGAGGAATCTATCTGGACATTTCACAAAACATTTCATTATGCTGACAATTCCCAGAAGTACTCTCAAGAGTGCTCTAAGCTGAGGATTACTGCACTGGAGCTGATGGACTTTTTTTGTAGCCCCTTTAAAAGGCAGTGAACCGTTTTTCTATTTTATTTAAATAATGCCCCTTAAAATGGATTTTTAGAGGTATAATAACTCCTTAAGAGTCAGTTATGCTAAACAGTTTCTCTTGATAGAAATGTTGTAAAACTCGTTAACTGCACAATTTCAGATGCCGGCTTGGTGAACACTAACTGACATGTGAATGACCAGAGTTTGTAAAATAAATTGCAATAGTTGTTGTATCACACAGCTCGCATTGCACAAGCTGGAGGCCATGAGGGGCTCCAACCTGACAGAAAATTACTTCAAGATGAATGAAAAGTGCTTGTTTCTCTTTATTAGTTTTTAGAGAACAATGAAAATGTTGAATTGTTTACAGAGGGCTGATTAAATGTGGTCAGTGGGGCCATGTCCCGGCTGCTAACTGCTGGCCTTCCCCTCCCGCTGGCCCCCAACCTCCACACTCACATGCCATCCCGCGCCGAGCGCCCAGCCCCCACCCCTTGCTCCCTGCCACATGCATCTTCTTATAGGCTATTATGGCTGCACATCTGTGTGTGAAATGTGCTCGTTCTGACATTCCACTGCTGCTCGGCGCTGCAGAGGCCTTTGTTAGGTAAAACACTGTTGTCAAGCCTAACAAGCAGGTCATGCAATTTGCTGGACACTGCGACAGAGAATAGCCCAGGATGAATTGCTTTGGCCTCAGACAATGCTCAGTTCCATATTGGAATACATATGTATTTCCTTCATTGTGCAGCTCTACAAAAAGTCATGACATTTTGTTTTTTTCAGGCTTTGATTTAAAAAAAAATATGTTGCTAGGGCTAGACTACCACAAAATAGCCTGTTTGTTGTATTTACTTAGGATAACTACTGTCTTATGGCTAAAGGAAAAAGGCATGAAGTGCTTTAATTGGTCATTTGCGGTTTAAATCCCATTTACGTTTTACCAGAAAGCACAGTGAGAGGAAAGGCACGAGCTACGGCTCCAGCTGGCTCTTTGGTGTATTTAAAGGGGTGGTCAAAACCAGGGCATTTAGGAGGATGTTGCGGAGAAGGATTCTCACTTTTTAGTTCCACAAAGTAAACAGCCCTTGATGGAAAGAAATATGAGAACTCATTAATAAGCATATGCCAGGCAGGAAGAAAACAGTCTTTTTACCAGACCACACTAAATGAATCAGATCCAGAAGATGTTTTGGTAAACTAAAAAATTAAGCAAAAGCCAACCACTGCCATTTCAGCTCAACAAACAGCCTTCCACAGCCCATTCCCTTCCGCCTTCTAACCTCTCCCTTACACACACTCACACACATGAATACGTGCACATGCACATGCACACACGCACGTGTGCATGAGTACACACACACGTCGGGGTAATCAGCAGTCTTTGGGAGCAGTTCAAATGCTACTTGTGACATTGTGACACAATACATAGCACACACCCCTAATGTGCAGGCAGGATTCTCTTCCCCTCTGTGCAGAACATGCATTCTGAGCCTATTATGTGTATAGACAATGGCATGTGTAATTACCTTTCTAGGGTGGCAATTATTCCTCAGAATCAACAACCAGAGTTAAAGCATGTTCCCCCAAAAGACGTTGGGGGATCAATTCTGGGTCAATTACGTCAGGCTTTGATTTATCACATGGTATCACATGTTAAAAATAAAAAAGAAAGTTTTAAAAAAAAGAGCACTATAAGGTAAAGGCTAAAGGTTTGACTCAAATTGGTCTGTTTCCAACTTTCCCTTCTCCCAATTGCTCTGCCCCTCCCCCATTCTCAGAACAACTGTGATTTGCTGGGTTTTATCTCTGAGACAGTTTGCTGTTCAGGAATACTAAATGCAGTGAATCTGGACTAGATTCAGATCTGATCTGCCCCTCTCCCAGGCACTGGGACTTTCTCCTGGGATGCAGCAGAGGGTAGGGGTCAATAGTTCAGCCTTTTGAATCTGAGAGATCTAGATTTAGACCCCTATGACTTCACCAAGACACACGCCTCTGCAGTGGATAACACCTTCTTCAATGGTTGTCGTGAGGTGTAAATGAGATAATTCAGTGAGAGGATGCAGGTAAAGCACTTAGCCCAGCAGCTGGCACATCATGTCGTGAGCACCCAGTAAACAGAGTGATTGATCTGTTGACGGACAAGCCAGAGGAGGAAGAGCGGAGCAGCCCTTCCAAGGCCCAACCCTTGTGTAGAACGGGGCCAGGGCCAAGGGAGGCAGAGTGGAGGAGGGAACAAATCACAGGGCTGAAGTGGTTAAGTCCAAGTCACCAAGGAAGAGGCCCAGTGGACTAGACTGTCTATGAAGAATCCAGTTGATCTGCACTCCTTCTAAGTAGATTGACTATAAACTGCAAAGCAATAAAGGTGTTACTCTGTTGGCAAGACCCCCTCTGTCTTTATAGAGCCTTAAGAACCCTAGAAGCAAACAGCTACTTTACACACCTTGATCACCAAATGCTTACTGAACACACACCCACTATGGACCAGGCACCATGCTAGGCACCAGGAATAGAGATGGTCCCACCTAAAAATCTCCCAAAACAGGAAATAAATATCTACAATTAGTACAACACAGGTTCATAACTCAGATTTCCTGGCAGCAATTTCACACAAACTGAAAGTGACATAACAAATATCCAATACCACCATCAGAAGTTTGAAGGTGGGTCAATTCATTCTATTAAGGATGAATCATATAGCTAAACTCATTGGTCAAATTAGAGCTATTCCTTACTGAGGAGCAAAATAACAGTTTTTAGAAATTAAATTAAAAGGGATGGTATGAGAATTCTCACCAAATTCTTTAGGGAACAATATAACACCCCATTCAAAGAACACTTTAAACTTGTTTTTTATGGAGAAACATTGTTTATCAATAAGAGGGAAACAGTACTTACACAATTCATTTCTCAAATGGCACACAGTGCTATTGGCAGTATGTATTGGCAGCTTAATTAAGAAGTCTGTTGATGATGCTGAAAAAAACGCTGGCACATTTTCAATTCAGATGGACACTACTCAAGACAAAGATATGTTTTTGGTTGGCTCATACATACTAAAATGTGTCACAGACACTACATAAAATGTCTAGTGTCTACAGTCATGTTAGTGTCAACACTGAAAAAATCATGACCTGTACTTATTTCAGACCAGAAATAATTTTTCAGAAAAATTGTATAGTCATTCAACTTATGGAACACAGAGGACAACACAGTCAACACTGACATAGTTAGCCAAATGTTCACACAGAGCCATTACCCAGGTCTGTTTGGCTCCTTCCCTGTCCTCTCTTGGGTCCACAAGCAATACCCCCAAGATTGATCCAAATCTTCCCCTTCTCCATGCTAATAACTCACCCAGAATGGCAGGCCCCCAGGGCATGGAAGGTAGGGCCTATACAGACAACAGATGTAATTTGCCTCCCCACTCCTCAAGAAATGTACAAACACAAAATATTTTTGCAACAGCCAACTACACCTAAGTGGGAAAAAAGATTTAAGTCAAATTAACTCCAACTATAATGTGTTAATATCTCTAAAGTCTATTGAATATGGAATCAATAAAATGAACCCTACCTATTGGAAGTCCAAAAAAAAAGGAATTAAGACGTCCTGAGTTGCCCACATTAGGAGGTTTTTTTTGTCTTGTTTTGTTTTTTATTAAAAGGAATACTTACTGAATACACTTTTCCATTCATTTGTTTCCTGTCTTAGGGACACATTTAATTAAGAGCAGAAGACAAAAAAACAAATGTGCCCTAAAACTAATTGTAAATACATTGAACACAGGAACCACAACTTATTTGTCTCCCTCATTTTCTCTCCTCTCTTTTGTTCAGTGATTCACACATAGTAAGTACTCAGTTAAGTTGAAAAGGCCATGCACATTTCAGTTCACATTAATTTGGAGGGGTTGCACTGATTTAAGGAGCAGCTGAGACAAAAAGAATAGGTTTGATCTCTGATTTCTGGCTAGTGAGGCACACTGTCTTGAAAACTTCCTTTGCTGAAGCTTGCATAACACTGGCATCATTAACTGCTGGCCGCCGTGGCATTCTTAATGTTTTGATCTGTTTCCATTTTTGCTGACGGTAACAAGATAATTCTCCAATGGTTGTCTTTCCAACAAGAAAATGTGAAAGGTGATTTGAAGCAGGTATTCAGTGAAGCAGGGAGTACTCAGTCTAACCCCGTCCTATAGACAGTACATCTGTGAACAAAATGGAAACAAATTATTAACCCAAGCCTTTCTAAGAACAACTTTTCAGAAGTACAACGGTTGGTCTTTTGCTGATGACTAAAATTATTTAGCTCAACATTTCAAAAATACAACCAGGATCTTTTATGGTGATAATTCTGTTAAAGTTTTCATTCCTTACCTTAAATAACAACTTTTAAATCCATGCCACCCCCAGGAGCAGAGCCAAGCCTAATAAAATCAGAAACACCACATATCTATGCATTGGGAAAACAAAGTTTCCCTACCCAGGTAAGGATTCTGTATTTTCTTTCCTTGTCTTGATAAACAGGAATGAAACCCCTCCTGAGGTTCCAAGCCCCATTACTGCATGAACAGTGAAGTCCCCGCCTGTGTCCCATCATGGAGCACCAGAGTGGAGGACTGGGAAGCAAGGGCTGCAGATGGAGAAGCCTGTTGTGCAGCAATCCGGCCGGGCAGGAGCGCACTTTCCTCAGCAAAGGCTCTGAAGGAAACAGGTGGGTAAAAGAGGCATGCACGAACACTTCAAACATCGGCTGCCGCAGCAAAAGCCCACGAAAGCAGCATGGAAGGATCCAGATAGGTCCCACCTAAGGCTTCTTAGTCATACTCATACACATGTATATTGTAACACTATCCAAGACCAGGAGAGACAGATTTCTTTGCAAGAAACATTTCTATTTAGTCTCAGGCTCAAGGGCCACCGTCTCTCTGAAATGTCCCCCTGCAGACCCACATAGTAAGGTGTAGAGCCAGTGAACACAGGAGTAAGCTTAGCCTGAACACAATTTATTTACTAACTTACTTTATTTATTTGGGTTTTCTAAAATAGGCCAAAAGTGATTGTATCTGTATTTAAAACACCCTTCAGCTCACAAGCAAAAATGTCATACTACATGAACATTTAAAATCCACCTGGAATCATTTTAGGTTCTTACTTTAACCATTATATCAAATTTGTCACTGAAGCCGGTTACTTCTTAATTTGAAACGTCTTTTGCAGTCCCCTTTCCATCTGAATTTCTCCTAAATCCTCCCCGCTTTGTCAGGCCCTGTTGTCCACAGCCGGGACTGTGACAGCCTCTGAACCATGCCTCGGTCTCCTCTGCTGTAGTCTCAACTCCTTCCAAGTGATGCTGCCTCCACAGGGCCTCCACTGCAGCCACTCGTTCGTAGATGTCTCTGAGCCAGGGCCCCTGAAGTCTCCACTTGAGAGGCTCAGCACAGCTATGACCTTCAATTCATCCTCACCAGGCAGGCAAAAGAGAAGCAACCCCACCAACCAGGTAGTGGGACTGGAATTCCTTTTGTGGCCACAAATGCACTGAGTTTACTCTGCACTGCTTCATCATCCGTTCTCCCTGTGTTTCCCTACCAATTCCAGACGTGCTGGCCCAATCTTCAAAACTGGCTTCTGCACTGACTAGCTTTCCTATTTCCTACAATGCCTGTGACTTGCCCCGAACCTGAATCTACTTGACCAGGGCCTGATATAACCCTTCCCCAGATTCTCTTCCAGGACTCCAGCTGCTGGCTGGGATCCAGCTGTGATTCGATTTCCCACTGCCATGACACCACCATTCCTGACTCTGAATCTCACCTGCTATCTACCTGCTATCTGGTTGCCCAAACTGCCTGCTAAATTGAATCTCCTCAGATCCAAGATCTTCCCTGAATCAGTCTCAAGATCATCACATCCTCTTGGTCACTGAGAATTGGATTGCTGGCTAACCCTTGTGCAGCCAGGCTCCCAGTCTCTGATACACCTAGTCTTGACTTCCTCCTGCTCCCTGCAACCTATGCTGCTGAGATCCTGCATAGGCAACACCCATTCCCAGCCTAGAAAAATTCTAACACTATAATGTTCTTGTACTATCTTTTATTTATTCATTCATTCAATGTCAGTCATTTATTAATTTATCCTCATGTCATTCCATAAAAAATTAAAGAGGTAAACATTAACTTAGTTTTAAAAAAAATCTTACATGACTACCTATAGCCTAAACCCTGCCTGATGTTTGAAGTATTCCACTTTCCTATTCCACTTGACTTCCTAGTCTCCAACAAGAAGTCTCTGCTTCAGGCACACAGGTCTACTGACCTCTGAGCTCATTCTGACTCTTTGTTCATGCCCTCTTTTCTGTCTTCTTAATTAATTCCTTTTTTCCTTCAGCACCTTGCTCATGACATGATCTAAGTAGCCTTCCCCAAGAAACAAATCCACATTGACTTATCCCTTATCTGGATTCCTCTGGAATAATCAATATCACACAGTTTAAGTACTTGGTTTTCACTAAATGTTTCATATTATATATTAGCTCCCCAAACAGACTGTTAGTTCTTTGAGAACTGAGATAAAGGCCATGTCCTGTACTTGTTACAGTGCCTCCAAAGTACTTGATGTTGACCCCTAGTGGGAGAGCATAGTTCCACTTCCATCTTCTCCCTACCCTTACCCCACTGCCCAGCCCCACCTCCATGCAGGAAAAGAGACAAGATGACTGAATCAAGTTACTGGACTCAACTGAACCTCGTAAAAGGCCTGGAGCTTCTGGTCTATTGAGAGAAAAGGTTAACATTTTGACTTCTGTAGGCTGTGGTCTCTTTGGAGTTGGTCTCTTAAGGTTCTCACTCTCTTCGGATTGCTCCTCTCTACTTCCATGTGGCCAGTGAGGTGAAACAGGTCTGGAACCGCCCGCCACCTGGGAGATCCTCCCCAACATGCACCACCTCCCTCCACCAGATAAGGCCTAGGGCAGACTACTTAGACCAACTCTAACTTAAACCTTTTATTTTTCTTTCTTGTTTTTCTCCTGCCTCATCTAACCGCTAGTGAAGTAGGATCTAAAGAGCTAGACCCAGGAGAAAAGGACCAACGTGGCCTATCTGTATGCAAGACACAACATTTCCAAGCAGCTCTGCATGGATTACTAAACTCATCAGAAATTGCTTTAGGTTTGGGGCAGGGGGACCGGGAGGGTACAGCACCCAGGTAACTAATAAGAATAGATGTGTATATACTTGAAGTCTATCTGGTCTGGTGCTTATCTCCTCCAAGCACCTGTGGCCCCAGAAGATACCCAAGTAAGGATCTGTGGGTCCATCTCAACATAATTACTAAGTATATTCTCAATAAATACTTAATTGATTTTCCTTAGTAAATGTCTAAACTTTATCAGAATAGACCAAGAATTCTAAGAAACTTTGAAGTTCTGGGTCAGAGTTGTTTATGATTTCTGTATTGAATATACACCTCACTCAAACCTTAACTTTATTTCTATAAAGCCATTTCTCTAAGAAAATATCTCTTACAACATAGATCTTTGAGTTTGAGACCATTTTGCGAGTGAGGATGCAAGCAAGACAAATCCTGTGGGTTTTGTAAGCCTTTCTGCCAAAGACTAAAGCCAGTGAGCTTCTTCTATTGTGAAATTTTAAATTAGCATTTGCAGATGACCATAGTCCACTGTAGAATCATGTAATATTCATGATATCTCACATACTTTGAATATTTAAATATGCCATGCACACACTATATACATGCATATATACATAACCTTGACACTTGGAAAGAAATGGATAATGGATGTAGGCATATCCCAAAGTCATGAGATCATTTGCCACTTGTCCAAGTCTGTGGCCAAAACTCCACTTTGAAATAATGCTCTTAATTAGCATGTGATGTAGAGACTGCCTAATACCCATTCTCTCCTTTTTCCTGAATTTTGAGAGGTACATGGTCACCAAGACTAAACTTTCAGGTCACCCTGGCAGCTAGGTATGACTAGTGGGATGTGAGTAGAAGTTAGGAGTGCAACATCTAGGGAATGCCTTTAAAGAGAATGCTTATTTATCTTCAGACATATGAATGACGCCAACCCCAGGGATAGCAGAGTAGTAAGATAAAAGTTTATTTCTTCCTTATCCAACAGTCTAAGCATAAGCAGTCCATAGGTGATACAGCAGCTCCACTGTGTCTAAGCTTGTTTAAGCCACTATATTTCGGAGTCTCTTAACCAGGATACAAGTTAGGTTGTTGTGACAAATACAACACTATAATGCTAGCTCTGCTACTTCCTAGCTGTCCAACCTTGGACAAATTACTTAAACTCTATGAACTTGTTTCTTTCTCTGTACCGACCTCATAGGTAGCTGTTAGCAACCTGAGACTGTCTTTTTTTTTTTTTTGCTTCCCATTATATCCTCAGCTTCTAGCACAGTGTCTGCATATAGTAAGCATTCAATAAAAACTCGTTATTATTGGTTTTCCTGTTGATATGCCCAATCTAGACAAATAATGCCATACCTTACAACTAACCATTAGGTACTTCCAATAAAGATCTGACATAATACAACTAATTAACATGGTGTGCATTAGAATGATCACATTTTCTGACCCAAATCTTAGAAAACATGGTCTGACAAAAGCTTTTTTTTTGACTTGTGAATTTATTTATACAAAAATTCTTATACGTTAAACCATAGGTTGTCAACTTAATGAACCGACTTTACTTTTAAAAATTATCTGCTTAAATTGAGGAATCCTGGAAAGTCAAAGGCACAGAGTCCCTATAGCATTGGTTCTGTTCCCTTTACTTTTTATTACAAGGTTCCACTGTACATGCATATGTTGAAAAAATAAACTGATTTTTATAACATATTTATGGTTGTCAATTTGAATAGTAATAGTTCAGAATCTCAAGAAAAATAATTCTTATGTTTTCCCAAAGGAAGATAGGCTCTTCTTGCTTCTAAAAAAATAGCTTGGATGCGAGTTTTCAGTAAAACACATTTCTCCTATTGAAGAGCTCTTAATAAACATACACACCTGGCTGCTTTCATTTCACCACAAGTGGCACCCATTTGCCAGTCATCGGAGTAATTCAGCCTGATCTGTGGAGGTGATGGATTCAGACAAACTGTGTCAGCCTGTCATTAAGGGGAGGATAGATTACTGTATAGACTCTATGCAGGACGTTATAGTGCTTACA